CAAAAAATCAGCCGGGCGTGGTAGGGCATGCCTGTAATTCCGGCTACTCGGAAGGCTGAGACGGAAGGATCGCCGGAGCCCAGCAGGTCGAGGCTGCGGTAAAAAAAATGAAATTTTTAAGTTCTATAAATTATCTTTAAAAAAAAAAAAGTTGAGTCTGTCTCATTGTGTTACCCAGGCTGGAGTGCAGTGGCACGATCATGGCTCACTGCAGCCTCAACCTCCTGGCCTCGGTGATCTTTCCATATCAGCCTCCCAAGTTGCTGGGACTACAAGAACATGCCACCATGTCCAGATAATTTTTTATTTTTTTTGTAGGATTGAGGTCTCACTATGTTGCCTAGGTTGGTCTTGAACTCCTGGACTCAAGCAGTCCTCCTACCTTGGCCTCCCAAAATGCTGGGATTACAGGTGTGAGCCATTATGCCTGGCCTTCTATAAATTATCCTTAAACGCCAAAACATGGTTGGCTTTAAATACTATGGTCTTCTGATCAATACTCTTCCAGGTTCAGTAGAAAGGCTTTGAGAAAAGAACTCATGTTCATATTACATCTGTATCTTATTACATTTTTTAAAGTTTTTACTGCTATTAAAATTATGTATTTTGTTGGGTATGGTGGCTCATGCCTGTAATTACAGCACTTTGGGAGGCCAAGGCAGGAGGACTGCTTGAGCACTGGAGTTCGAGACCAGTCTAGGCAACATAGTGAGACCTCCATCTCTATAAAAAATAAAATTAGCAAGGCGTGGCACTGCATGCCTGTAGTCCCAGATACTTGAGAGGCTGAGGTGGAATGATCATCTGAAAGACTGCAGTGAGCAGTTAATTGTGCCACTGTACTCCAGCCTGGGCAACAGAACAAGACCCTGACTTAAAAAAAAAAAAAATAAAATAATAATAATAATTTATTTTATTTAGTAATTTACACCACTAAATGTAATGAAATAGGTTTGTGGATGTTAGTATGGTTTAATAATAATAATTCTCAAACCATTCTGAGTTTATTACAGGAGACAATTAATAAATATACTGATACTGGGAAACAGGTTCTCATTTGAAAAGAAAGAAAATGCAAATATGGAATGGTGAGGAGGTATGAAAGAATCCTGTGGAGTCTGATTTGAATTGGAATGTTCTTATGATTTAAGACAAATATATATGATTTGCTCATTGAAAAGGCCTAGAAGCAAGAGCACCCCAGTAGCAGGGAACATACCGACTACTCAGATCTTGTTTTCTAAATCCCAAATCCCACTAAAAGGAACCAGGGCATCATTGGAGAAATGGCTGCTCTCAGATTTGAGTAGGAAAAGTACAACATGAGCCCAGACATTTTACTTTGCTGGAAAACATGGAGATACGTTTAAAACATAAAAGCAGCCGTGAAAGAGTTGATTAAAAAAGAACTAAGTCCATAATAATACTACAAAAAGGGGAGTAAAAAAAAAATAGAATGAAAAGATCTCTATTTGTTATCATCAGTGTAATAAATGATTCAGAAAAAGGCCGTTAGTGGATGTTCCTTGAAGAGTTGTTAGGGAACAGTCCATTCATAGAAATCATTTCAAACATTATTTATTAATACCATAGGGAAAGGTACCTTTACAATGTGAATTATTAAAAATGTTTAATCTGAATCTTATCATGGGGAAACAATCTGATAATCCAGATAATGGGAATTCTCAAGAAAACTGTCCCAGAGTCTTAAAGTGTCATGAAAAACACAAAGACTGGGGCAAGACGGAACTGTTATAGATTAAAGGAGATGAAAGATTATAGCCAAGTGCAATGCATAAATCTTGACTGGATCCTGGAACACAAAAAAGAGCTACAAAGGTCATTTTTGAGACACCTTTGGAAAATTTGAAGTAGGCTGCATTTTAGATATTATATTTAATCAATGATAAATTTCTTAAATAAGAACATCATTCAGTCATGTCAGAGAATATTCCTGTTCTTCTTCTTTTTTTTTTATAAGTAGGAATTTATCAGGAGATAGGAAAGCCTCCGGCAGCAGGAGGGGTCCCTGGCAGGAGGGGATCCCGAAAGAAGGTTGCCCGCCTTGTTCCTAGGAGATATTAAGAGAGATGTGTTATAGATGCAGCTTCCCTTAAAGTGCCTTTAGACAAAGATACTTTCTAGAAAATGCTTTTTAGGAAAAGATACATATACAAATAAAAATAAGACTTTATATAGTCCCAAATTTCCTATTCCCTTCTTTTATCTTTTATCGACTATAAAGAAATTTTACAATTTGGTTCTGTGACAGAACGATATTTATTCCCTCTTGTTATCACATAAAAAAACTTATTCCAACAATAAAGTAAAAGTAGCTTGACGCTGAGTTTTATTTAATCACAAAATCACGCTGGAGGAAATGTTGATCTGGTGTGTTTGGGTACGCTGTGCTATCGCTTTTACTCACCTTCCCCAGAGCCGTCAGTAGGTGAAAGTCTATGGTCTCTCTGTATCGAAGGATTTGAAGAATTCCATCCAAGTATACCTGGTCTTTACTAAAACACCCTGGAGGAACCAAACTAGTGTTTACTTTCTGATGTTTTAAAAAATTACTAAGTAATTAGATATCAGCCCATTTACTTCACTGTGGGGAATCAGCCCTGTATTTAAAAAAAAATTCTAATTTGTCAATGTTTATTTTTATTGAACTATTTTCATAACATAAAATGTGAGGTCTTAGGAAGTACCAGGATAGTAGTTTGGAAAGTATGCAGACTAGCAGCTTCCCTTTAAGAATTCCCTTGCAGCCGGGTGCGGTGGCTTATGCCTGTAATCCCAGCACTTTGGGAGGTGAAGGCGAAAGGTTGCCTGAGCCCTGGGGTTCAAGACCAGTCTGGACAACTTGGCAACACACCGTCTCTACAATAAATCAAAATATTAGCCAGGCATGATGGCGCACACCTGTGGTAAACAGCTACTTGGACGGCTGAGGTGGAAGGATCGTCTGAGCCCAGCAGGTTGAGGTTGCGGTGGCCATGAGTGTACCACTGCACTCCAGCCTAGGTGACGGAGTGAGACTCCATCTCAACAACAACAACAAAAAGAAATTCGCTTCTCTAGACCTCCTCCTCATTATTAAGATAACATTTCTTTCCTAATTACAAATAAGACTAGCAATTTAAAATCTATGACTCATAAATGATCATCACTCCATCTCTCACCCCGCCATTCAGTCATAATTCCCATTGTGTAATGAAGGCATCTGAGTGGGGAAGGGCTGAGGATTGTTTTAGAACAGTTAGGTCTCAGCAGGGGTAATGGAGAGATGTAGGGTTTTAGAAACTCTTGGTAAAATATCAATCCTCCTCCCCATTAAAAAAAGTTAACTGTGGTTTAAAAATATGGATTTTTAAAATTGTTCTTCCCTATGAAAACAAGAATTAGAACTGAATTTTAAAAAACATGTAGGTTTAAAGCTGAGTGTGGTGGCTCACACCTGTAATCCCAGCACTTTGGGAGGTGGTGGTGAGAGGATTGCCTGAGCCCATGGGTTTGAAAGCAGCCTGGGCAACTTGGCGAAACCTCATCTCTACAATAAATATAAAAATTAGCTGGGCATGGTGGCGTGTGCCTGTAGTTTCAGCTACTTGGAAGGCTAAGGTGGAAGGACAGCCTGAGCCCAGCAGGTCGAGGCTGCGGTGGCCGTGAGTGTGTCACTGCACTTCAGTCTGGAAGACAGAGTGAGACTCCAACTCAAAAAAAAAAAAAAATACTATAGAAAAGTGACCAGGCATAGTGGCTCATACCTACAATCCCAGCACTTTGGGAGGCTGAAGCAGGAGCATTGTTTTAGCCCACGAGCTCAAGACTAGCTTGGGCAACATAGTGAGACCTCCGCAAAAAAAACAAAAAAAACAAGGCCAGGCTCTGTGGCTCATCCTGTAATCCCAGCACTTTGGGAGGCCAAGGTGAGTGGATTGCCTGAGCCCGTGGGTTCGAGAGTAGCCCAGGCAACTTGGCAAGACCTCATCTCTAAAATAAATAAAAAATTAGCTGGGCGTGGTAGCATGTGCCTGTAGTTCCAGCTACTTGGAAGGCTGAGGCAGAAGGATAGCCACAGCCCAGCAGGTTGATGCTGGGATGGCTGTGAGTGTGCCACTGCACTCCAATCTGGGTGACACAGTGAGATTCCAACTCAAAAACAAAACAAACAAACAAAAAAAAACACTATTGGAAAACAAGAACTTGGAAGAATAGATGAACCACAGTTAGAAAATGTAGGTAATCACTAAGATCAGGTACTGAATTAATGAAGGCTCAGCATATTAATCGTTCTTCTTTTGCACACATTTGAAATTTTCCATAATAAAAAGTTAAAAAAGCAAAAGTATGTAAAGAAAAGAAAAAATAGAACAAGTCTAAAGTTATATGCGTCTGTGGGGTATTAAGGGCAACAGGAAAGCACTGTGCATTGACTACAAAACACTAAAATGCATGCAAATGGATCTAAAATGGGAAAAAGGAAATGACAACCCCCCAGATAGCTATGCACATGTGAAAGGCAGAGAAGAGGCGCCCTCTTTCCTGCTTCCCATTGCCTGTTCCTGGCACTCAGGCACCACACTTTAAAACAACCGCCATTGCTGGTATAAAATGTTGTTATGGTGGGCTGTGCTGGTGACAAAACCATCATTAACCTGAGTGTTTCCAAGCTCCAAAAAAAATTTGTTGATATAGTGAAGTAACCTGAAAATCAAAATGACTTTTAAATAAATGTTTCTTAATTCTTATCGTTTTTTCAAAAGCATTTTTGCATTGCCATATACTTTATCTTGTTAAAAACAAACTGAAAAACTGTGGGCAATCTAAAGTCTTAAGGCTGCTACCAAAAACAATTTTAACTTTCTTTCTTTCTTTCTTTTTTTGAGTTGGAGTCTCACTCTGTCGCCCAGGCTGGAGTGCAGCAGCACGCTCACAGCCACTGCAGCCTCAACCTGCTGGATTCAGGTGATCCTTCCACTTCAGCCTTCCAAGTAGCTGGAATTACAGGCATGCGCCACCACGCCCAGCTAATTTTGTGATTTATTGTAGAGATGAGGTCTCGTCAAGTCGCCCAGGCTGGTTCCGAACCGTGGCCTCAGGCAAGCCTCTCGCCTCGGCCTCCCAAAGTACTGGGATTATAGGCTTAAGCCACCACACCTGGCCTTAAATTTCTATTGGAGTAGCATATTTTCTTAAAACTAGAACGGCCTGTGAACATCAGCATGCACTGAAATTAAATTATTTGCCTCTATTTTCTTTAGACAAATAATGATAGTGCTAGATATCCCCAATGAAACAACAGATTCAAGCAAGGATCCTTGATGGATGACAAAATCATTAGATGAAGGTCTGTTGGGGAACAGGATATTCATAGTCTTTCTCACCTCACTCATTAATTACAAAGGGCAAAAGAAATTGTACTTTTACAAAGGAAAAAGTTCATAATCACCACCTTAAATGACAATCAAATTTAGCATCTCTAATGGTGAGACAAGCTGCCATAAGGTGGCTCTTTTTTTTTTTTTTTTTTTTTTTGAGTCAGAGTCTCACTCTGTTGCCTAGACTGGAGTGCAGTGGCATACTCACAGCCACCACAGCCTCGACCTGCTCGGCTCAGGTGAAACTTCTGCCTCAGCCTTCCAAGTAGCTGGAACCACAGGCATACACTACCACCCCCTGGCTAATATTTCTTTTTTTTTTTTTTTTTTTGTAGAGATGAGTTATCGCCAAGTTGCCCAGGCTGGTATCGAACCCCTGGACTCAGGGAATCCTCTTGCCTCAGTCTCCCAAAGTGTAGGCGTAAGCCACTGCTCCTGGTATAAAGTGGCTCTTGATACAACCCAGCATCACTTATGCAGTATTCGTGCTCATGTCTACCTTGAAGCTAATCAATAGCAAACAAGCAAACACCAGATTGTGGGCTATTCCATAAGAACACTGGCCTAGACTTTAAAGTCACTATCATAAAAAACAAAAAAAGGTAGGGAAGATTGTTCCATATTAACAGAGGCTAAAGAGACAACCACCAAAAGTAATGCATGAACCTTAACTGGATCTGGATTTTTTTTTTTTTTTTTTTTTTTGGTAAACAGCTATATAGGGCATTTTTGCAAAAGTTGGAAAAAAATTTTTTTTTTTTTTTTTGAGTTGGAGTCTCACTCTGTCACCCAGACTGGGTGCAGTGGCCGCTCCTGGCCACTGCAACCTTGACCTGCTGGGCTCCGGCGATCCTTCCACCTCAGCCTTCCGAGTAGCCGGAATTACAGGCACGCGCTACCACGGGAAAAATTTAAATATGGTATGTGTATTCACTGGTATTGCCGAATTAGTGTTCATTTAAGTGTGATAATGATATTGTGTTAAGTAGAAGAATGTCCTTATTCTTAGGCAATGTGTATTAAAATTTTTAGAAATGAAATGTCAAACCTAAAATTTACTTTTAAAAAGTCAATCAGTGCCAGGCATGGTGGCTCATGCCTATAATCCTAGCACTTTGGGAGGTGGAGATGAGAGGATTTCCTGAGTCCCAGGGCTCAAGACCAGCCTGAGCAACATGGCGAGAACTCGTCTCTACAATAAATCAAAAAATTAACTGGGTATGGTCGTGCACACCTGTGGTTCCAGCTACTTGGAAGACTAAGGTAGAAGGATCACCTGAACCCAGCAGGTCAAGGCTGCAGTGGCCGTGAGCATGCCGCTGCACTCTAGCCTGGGGGACAGAGTGAGTCAAAAAAAAAAAAAAAAAAAATCTATCAGAAAATCATCAAGAATGCAAAAGACAACCCAAAGAATAGTAAAAAAAAAAAAAAGTGTAAATCAAATATCTGACAAGAGATTTATCTAGAATAAAGGACGTTTACAACTCAATAATAAAAATACAAATAACCTAATTAAACAATGGACAAAGGATCTAAACTTTTCCAAAGAAGATGTGCAAAATGGCCAATAAGCACATGAAAAGATGTTCAACATCATTAGTCATCAGGGAAATACAAGTCAAAACTATAATGAAACCAGGTGTGGTGGCTCACGCCTGTAGTCCCAACACTTTGGGAGGTGGAGGCAAGAGGATTGCCTGAGCTAGGAGTTCAAGACCAGTATTGGCAAATTGGCGAGACCTCATCTCTACAATTAAAAAAAAAAAAAATTTGCCAGGTGTGGTGGCACATGCCTGTGATTCCAGCTACTTGGAAGACTGAGGCGGAAGGAACACCTGAGCACAGTTGGTCAAGGTTACGGTGGCCATGAGCATACCACTGCACTCCAGCCTAGGTGACAAGCGAGACTCTGACTCAAAAAAAGAAAAAAAAAAAAACTACAATGAGATGCCACTTCACACCCACTAGAATGTTTATAATAATTTAAAAAATAAAAATAGCAAGTATTGGCCAGGATGTGGAGAAACAGGAACACTCATACAATGGTGGAAATATAAAAAAGGTGCAGTTGTTTTGGAAAACAGTCTGGCAACTCCTCAAAAGGTTAAACATAGAGTTACCATAAAACTAAATTCTGCTCCTAGGTATATACCTAAGAGAATGAAAAATATCTGCACAAAACTTGTACACAAATGTTCATAGCAGTATTATTCATAATGGCCAAAAAGTAGCAACAACCCAAATGTCCATCAACTGACAAATGGATAAATAAAATGTGATAATTCCTGCAATTAATTCAGCAATAGGAATGACTGAAATACTGATACATGCTATATGGATGAATCTTGAAAATATTATACTAATTAAAAGAACCCAGTCACAAAGAATCACATATTATATTACTCTATTTATATGAAATATCCAAAATAAGTAAACCAACACAGGTTAAAAGAAAGAAAAACACTTAAAGTGGTTGCTTAGAGCTGGGTAGGCGGGGAGGAAATGGGGAATGACTGCTAACAGGTATGGGTTTCCTTTTGAGGTAATGAAAACATTCTGGAATTAGATGATGATGGTACACAACTCTGTGAATATTCTAAAATTCACTGAACTGTATACTTTAAATGGGTACATTGTATGGCATGTGAGTTATATCTCAATATAGCTGTTTTTATTGTATTGTATTGTATTTATTATTTTTTGAGTTGAAGTCTCACTCCGTCAACCAGGCTGGAGTGCAGTGGCATGCTCATGGCCACCTCAGCATCTACCTGCTGGGTTCTGGTGATCCTTCCACCTCATCCTTCCAATTAGCCAGAACTATAGGCACGTGCTACCACGCCCAGCTAATTTTGTGATTTATTGTAGAGATGAGGTCTTGCCAAGTTGCCCAGGTTGTTCTCGAACCCATGGGCTCAGGCAATCCCCTTACCTTGGCCTTCCAAAGTGCTGGGATTACAGGCCTGAGCCACCATGCCTGGCCAATATAGTTGTTTTTAAAAAGTCAAAGACATAGAAAGCAAAAATGGCAAAACATTAACCACTGGTGAAACTAGATAAAGGGCATGTGGGTTCATTCTACAATTCCTTCCATATTTAGTAAGTCCGAAATTTTTCAAAATGAGTTGGGCAAAAATAACACTAAGAAAATGTGGTTTGGGGCCAGGTGTGATGGCTAACACCTGTAATCCCAGCACTTTGGGAGGCCGAGTTGGGATGATTGCTTGAGCCCAGAATTTTGAGACCAGCCTGGGCAACGCAGCAAGACCTCGTCTCTATAAAAAAATCAAAGATTGGAGAAGTATAGTGGCGCATGCCTGTAATCCCAGCTACTTGGGAGGCTGAGGTGTGAGGATCATATGAGCCCAGGAGGTTGAGGATGAGGTGAGTTGTGATGGTGCCAATGCACTCCAGCCTGGGCAACAGAGTGAGACCTTGTCTCAAAATAGAAGGAAAGTAAAGAAAAGAAAATGTGGTTTGGGAAAACTACTGCTGACCTCAAGTAAGAAAGGCTTACTTCCACACATAAGTGAATTCTGTGATTCAGGGATTAGGATATAACCAAAATCACTAGATAACTAGTCAAGAAGTCAGAAAACCTCTAGTTAAGAGACACCTACCTGGTTGGGAAGTATCAGTCCATCCCCTCTTGGCCCGTACACAATAATCCCATCTTGTATTGGGATCCTTGACAAATTTGCCAATATCTTTGAAGAGTTCACAAAAAGACATTTGGCTGGCTCGATAAACAGTATAGTAGAGGAGGGCAGCCCTCCATAAAAAGGGGTCTTTTCTAAACAGGACACTGTGAATACTCGCCAGGCCTTCCTCTGTGGGATTATTTGGCTTTAGCTCATGTTTTTTTCGGCCAGTCCAACTGTTCCATGGTTGCTGAAGGTTATTAATACCTCGAAAATAATGTGTGCCTATGAAAAAGAAAAGTTACATGAATAATAAGAAATGCCACTTTTGTTTTAATTCTTCCCAAAAATAAAGATTCTATCAACAATTCTAAAACCAAATTGATGTGTGCCTACAAATCAAAACAAAGCAGAAAATGACCTGACCGTAACTTTTTTTTGGGTGTGGAGTACACTGCCTTCAAAAGGATCACATGTCTCATTAGAGGAAGTATAACCTTTATAACAATTTACATTTTTAAAGAGAAGTATCACAGACTTAGACTTTTTAAAGAATCTTGAAGATACTTTAATTCACCCCCCTCATTTTAAGGTGGGAAACTGAAATCCAGAGGAATTAAATGACTTTCCAAGTTTCATATACTTAAACAGTGTCCTAAAATAACCTAGTTAGAAAGAAGATATATGAGGAGGGACCCACAAAATCTAGGAACTAATTTATTAGAAATTGTGTATGTATTCTTATATGTTTAAACCTTAGTCACCTTCAAAGTGTTTGATTCAATACACCTATGGAGACATTTTTTCTACTGCTCAAAACAGTTTCTGAACTTGTCAATTTGGAAGCCTCTTAGTGCTTCTGCCATTTTTTGTTTCACCTCTTCCACATTGCAAATGGTTTCCTTTTGAGGACTTTTTCATCCAAGGAAACAAAAAAAGTCACTTGGGGCATGATTGGATGAATAGGAGAGGTAGGGCACAGGGGTCATGGTGTTTTTGGTCAAAAACCGCAACTCAACATGGTGCAGACAGGTGTGCTCATAAATTGCCCATCATGAGATTGGCAAATGTCTTGAAAGAATCTCAAAAAAAAAAAAAAATTAACTGAAGTTGAATGCAGCCTCTCACAACAACACTAGCCGATGCCGATGGGTTCCTAGAACACCTACCTAGTAGGCAAAGCCTGTACTACAAGGAACTCACTCTCCAAAAAATAATTTCCATTTTTTTGGGGGGGATCCCCCTCATAAATACATTAGCTTTAGTCAAAGTGAATCTTAACAACCTCATGACTTTTTGTCAAATACTACTGAGAAAAAACTCCTTCTCAATGAACATTTCTTTGGAGCTAATTCCTGATGTAATGAACAAATGGACAAGGGTTGCCCCTACCTATTTCATGCCTCAGCATTCCCTCCAGCCAATGCTCACGTGCAGTAGAAACATTGATGGTAAGAGTTGGACATCCATTTACCACTGTCATCGAAGCTCGGGAAAGCAGGTCCTCAGTGAGATGAACGACAATCTAAGGAGCAAGAGACAAAATAGACACATATGAAATAAAATGTAAAGGCAGGAGGGTACAGCCTCCACAGAGAACAGTGGTACTTTTTGTTTGCTTGTTTGTTTGTTTACAACCACCTTAAACTTCCCTTAAATCTTAAACCAAGATGATGGAATATACAGCCAACCACCTTTGGCCCTTTTGATTTTGACCCTTTGAAAACTCAAGAGCCTTTACTGAGTTGAAGGAAAAGTAGATACCTATATGTTGAGGAAGATGGGGGGGAGTGAGGGGGCAGCTAAAATCGTACCTCTGAGGTCTCTTAAATACAGCCTCTAGTTAAAATGATCAAAATGTATAGGTGCCTGAGTCCTTTTCATTGCCAGTGCCAAGGCTTTGAGACCGCTAATTGGAAAGACCACCGGGGCAAATTTCTTTATTAACAATTTTCACAAAGTAATTACCATCCCACGAGCTACACAGAAATGGCAGTAAGCATGTTTGTACCTATTAACCTGCCTCTCTTTAACCTCCTCCAACTCCCCCACCCTCCCCAGCCTCTAGTATCTGTCATTCTAATCTTTGCCTTTATGACATCAACTTTAGAAAAGCTGTTTTTAAAAATAATTTAAGCTTTATTTTCTCCTAGTAAAGCAAATAAAAAAATTCCACAGCCAAAGAAGGAAGGAAGGAAGGAAGGAAGGAAGGAAGGAAGGAAGGAAGGAAGGAAGGAAAGAAAGAAGGAAGGAAGGAAGGAAGGAAGGGCAGTAAGAAGAAAAATGAAAAGAAACTAAACACATCAAAACAATGTAACCCAACAGGAACTTAGACTTACAGTATTTAGTGAGAAATCTAGGTGACTAATTTAATGAATAAAGTAGAATTGGGAAAACAAAACCTTCGAGAAAACACTGACTGGCTGGCACTGACTGAGTTAAAATGCTGCGGCCAAACTCCTATGTTCACTCGTGATTCATACCTCCCCCAGGCAGCCTTCCTTCATCATGTACTTCCTAACATGACTCCAGATTCGAGTTTTAGAGAGCAAGCTACCACCAGTGGCTTGTTCAAATTTTTCATAACTTCCATATTTCTGTAAAGTCAGTTCCATAATATTGATGGACTGTAAAAGAAAGAGAGATAATGAAAGTAAATAGCCTCATATTATTTTGAGATGATTAATAAGCTAGCTATGTTCTTATCATGACCTATTTTAGGTTTATTGATTTCCAAATTAAGCTGCAATTGAAGTGCTACGATTTTCTAACCCTAAACATTTTTGCAAATGTGGACAAATGCCTGTACAGACATCAAATACTCTCTCCCTGTGTTCATGTCTCCTTAACATGCTGACGAAGGGACTCAAGGACTGCTTGAGCCCCTCTCTCTGGAGTGGTATAGTGTTGACATCTGACAGGCTGAGAAGTTGAAGAGAAAGACTCCTGGCTTTTCTAAGATCACTTGGTGGGTTTGGTGTGAGAACTTAGAGTGGAAGATATATCTCCATACTAGTCATTAGATTGCAGTTACTGTTTGGACGAGGAAAAAGGATTTTCAACACCTCAAGAGCAGACAAAACAGTCAATTCTGTGACAATCCATAAAATCTGCCATTTCCTGGGCTACTACTCCTTGGCACAAAACGAAGCCTCAACACCAATAAGAACACTCTGTCTTTCATTCAAAGCGGGGTACTACCTACTTTTCATTCTCCATACACTCTCACAAGAAATAAGAAAGTGAGCCGGGCTCGGTGGCTCGGCCTGTCATCCCGCGCCTTTGGGAGGCTGAGGTGAGTGG